CTCATAGAACCTTCTCCAAAATAGACCATATAGTTGGTCACAAAGCAAGCCTCAACAGACACAAGAAGATTGAAATAATCACTTGTATCCTGTCTGATCACCATGGAATAAAGCTGGACCTCAACAACAACAGAAATAGCAAAAAGCCTACACACACATGGAAACTGAACAATTTGCTACTACATGACAGCTGGGTCAGAGAAGAAATAAAGAAAGAAATTAGTCTTCCTAGAACTCAATGAAAATGAAGACACAACATACCCAAACTTGTGGGACACAATGAAAGCAGTGTTAAGAGGAAAATTCATAGCACTAAGTGCCTTCAAGAAGAAATTCGAGACAGCTCATTCAAGCAAATTAATGGCCCTCTTAAAAAACCCTAGAAAAAGAAGAAGCAGACACACCAAAAAGGAGTAGACGGCTGGAAATAATCAAACTCAGGGCTGAAATCAATCAATTAGAAACAAATAAAACAAATCAAAGAATCAATGAAACCAAGAGCTGGTTCTTTGAGAAAATCAACAAGATCGACAAACCCTTAGCCAAGCTAACTAAAAGGCAGAGAGACACCACCCAAATCAACAAAATCAGAAATGAAACAGGGGACCTAACCACACAGACACTGAGGAAATCCAAACAGTCATTAGGACTTACTTCAAAAGTCTATATGCCACGAAATTTGAAAATCTAAATGAAATGGACGATTTTCTTGATCAATTAGACTCACTAAAGCTGACTCAGTACCAGGTAAATCAATTAAATAGCCCTATATCCCCCAAGGAAATAGAAGCGGTCATCGAAAGTCTCCCATCCAAAGAAAAGCCCAGGACCAGATGGTTTCAGCGCAGAATTCTACCAGACCTTCAAAGAAGAGCTAATTCCAGTTCTCTTCAAACTATTCCACAAAATAGAAACAGAAAGAACACTACCAAACTCATTCTATGAAGCCACAGTCACCTTGGTACCTAAACCTCACAAAGACCCAACAAAGAAAGAGAATTTCAGGCCAATCTCCCTTATGAACATTGATGCAACAATACTCAACAAAATACTTGCAAACCGAATACAAGAACACATCAAAGATATCATCCACCATGACCAAGTAGGCTTCATCCCAGGCATGCAGGAGTGGTTCAATATATGGAAATCCATCAATGTGATCCACCATATTAACAAACTGAAAAAAGAAAAACACATGATAATCTCTCTAGATACTGAAAAAGCATTTGACAAAATCCAACATCCATTCATGTTTAAAGTATTGGAGAGATCAGGGATACAAGGCACATTTCTAAACATAGTAAAGGCGATATATAGCAAACCTATAGCCAACATCAAACTGAATGGAGAGAAACTTAAAGCAATCCCACTGAAATCAGGGACAAGACAAGGCTGCCCACTCTCTCCATCTCTTCAACATACTACTTGAAGTCCTTGCTAGAGCAAAAAGACAGTTGAAGGAGATCATGGGGATACAGATGGGAAAGGAAGAAGTCAAATCATCACTATTTGCAGATGATATGTTAGTGTACATGAGTGACCCCAAAAACTCTACCAGGGAACTCCTACAGCTGATAAACACCTTCAGCAAAGTGGCTGGATACAAAATTAACTCAAAAAAATCATTAGCACTCCTGTATACAAAAGACAAAAGGGCTGAGAAAGAAATTAGAGAAACAACACCCTTCACAATAGCCACAAATGACATAAAGTACCTTGGTGTAACCCTAACCAAGCAAGTCAAAGACTTGCATGAAAAAAATGTCAAGTCTCTGAAAAAAGAAATAGAAGAAGATATCAGAAGATGAAAAGATCTCCCATGCTCATGGCTTGGCAGGATTAACATAGTAAAAATGGCCATCTTACCAAAAGCAATCTACATAATCAATGCAATTCCCATCAAATTACCAACACAATTCTTTACAGACCTGAAAAGAAAAATTCTCAACTTCGTATGGAATAACAAGAAACCCAGAATTGTTAAAACAATCCTCTACAATAAAAGATCTTCTGGAGGTATCTCCATTCCTGATCTTAAGCTGTAGTATAGAGCAACAGTTATAAAAACTGCATGGTACTGGCACAGAAACAGAATGGTGGATCAATGGAACCGAACAGAGGACCCAGAAATAAACCCACACACTTATGGACACCTGATTTTTGACAAAGATGCCAAAACCATACAATGGAAAAAGACAGCATCTTCAACAAATGATGCTGGTCTAAGTGGATGTCTACATGTAAAAAAATGAAAATAGATTCATATTTATCACCCTGCACAAAACTGAAGTCTAAGTGGATCAAAGACCTCAACATAAAACGGGACACATTAAATCGGTTAGAAAAAAAGTGGGGAATACCCTTGAACTCATTGGCACAGGAGAAAACTTCCTGAACAGAACACCAACAGCACAGGTTCTCAGAGCAACAATCAATAAATGGGACCTCATGAAATTGAAAAGCTTTTGTAAAGCAAAGGACACCATCATCAAAACAAAAGAATGCCCACAGACTGGGAAAGAATCTTCACCAACCCTTTATCTGACAGAGGTCTCATATCCAGTATATATAAAGAACTAAAGAAGCTGAAAAACAGCAAACCAAGTAATCCACTTAAAAAATGGGGAACAGAGCTAAACAGAGAATTGTCTGTAGAGGAATATCGAATGGCAGAGAAACACTTAAAAAAATGTTCAATGTCATTAGCCATTAGGGAAATGAAAATCAAAACAACCCTGAGATTTCACCTTACACCCATCAGAATGGCCAAGATGAAAAGCTCAAGTGACAACACATGCTGGAGTGGTTGTGGAGAAAAGGGAACTCTCTTCCACTGCTGGTGGGAATGTAAACTTGTACAACCACTCTGGAAATCAATCTGGCGCTTTCTCAGACAACTAGGAATAACGCTTCCTCAAGATCCAGCCATACTACTCCTAAGTATATATCCAAAAGGGACTCAAGCACACAATAAAGACATTTGCTCAACCATGTTTGTAGCAGCTTTATTTGTAATAGCCAGAAGCTGGAAACAGCCAAGATGCCCCTCAACTGAAGAATGGATGCAGAAATTGTGGTACATCTAAACAATGGAGTACTAGTCTACAATGAAAAATAAGGAAATCATGAAATTTGCAGGTAAATGGTGGGACCTTGGAAAGTTCATCCTGAGTGAGCTGTCCCAGAAGCAGAAAGACACACACGGTATATACTCACTCATATAGACATATAACATAGGATAAACCTACTAAAACCTGTACATCTAAAGAAACTAATTAAGAGAGAGGACCCTGACTAAAACTCTCAATCCCCATCCCAAAAGGCAAAGAGGATAGACATCAGAAGAAGAAAACAGGAAACAACCTAGGAACCTGCCACAGAGGGCCTCTGAAAGGCTCTGCCCTGCAGACTATCAAAGCAGACACTAAGACTTATAGACAATTGTTGGGCAAAGTGCAGGGAATCTTATATAAGAAGTGGGAAATAGTAAGATCTGGAGAGGACAAAAGCTCCACAAGGAGAGCAACAGAACCAGAAATTTGATCACAGGGGCCTTCCCAGAGACTCATACTCCAACCAAGTACAATGCATGGAGATAACCTAGAATCCCTGCACAGATGTAGTGGCAGTGTAGTGTCCAAGTGGATTAAATAGTAATAGGAAGAGGGACTGCCTCTGACATAATCTGATAGGCCTGTTCTTTGATCACTTCCCCCTGCAGGGAGAGCAGCCTTACCAGGCCACAGAAGATGACAATGCAGCCATTCCTGATGTGATCTGATAGACTAAGATCAGAAGGAAGGAGAGGAGGACCTCCCCTATTAGTGGACTTGGGGAGGGGCATGTGTGAAGAAGGGGGAGGGAGGGTGGGACCGGGAGGGGAGGAGTGAGGGGCTTATGGGGGGATACAAAGTGAATAAACTGTAATTAACAAAAAAAAAAATAAAGTTAATGTACTTAGAAAAAAATTCACCAAGTAAGGGAGGAAGGCTACTGGCCAGCGATCTTCCTCCCTCCACCTCACGACTGCTGAGCTTTATATATACCTAGGTTTAAAATGGGTGTGTGTGTGTATGTGTGTGTGTGTGTGTGTGTGTGTGTGTTCTGGGGCTCAAACTCAGGTCCTCATGTTTGCATTGAAAGCACATCATAAACTGTGCTATCTCCCCATCCTGATCTTGTTCCTATTAGAAAACTATATCCCTGATATTCCTACGGGTGAAGGAATTCTGCGTATTAACCTGGGGGCAGGCGTCTAAGCTTGTCTCCCACCTTAGCCTCCCTGACCCCCCTTTCCTAATAACAAAGATCCTCTCTGATTAGCTCCAGGCTACCCCACCTATCCTTTATTTATCACATGGCCCCACACCCAATAGGCTCTAGGGTGTACACTCGTTCCTAAGGCTGGGACCCAAATCCTTTCCCCAGGAACCTGGAGCTAGACTGCGTCTCTGATGTGTTCTCTAATGCTGATAAGGCCATGCTGCCCAGGAGGGCTGAAAGTCAGGGTGACTGGCCTGTAGTGAGTACATATGATGGGAAGGAAAGCGACTGCCAAAAAGGGCCCCAGCACCACAGTCTCTAAGACCAGCTACAGCCCTGCCTTTAGAATCTGCAGACATAGCCAACAGTTAGGTTACTTCTTATCACAATTATTACTCTATGATAATGAAGGGAAACAAATGTCAGTTTAATGAAGCTATGGAACAATCCAACAGAGGATGAACGTTACCTTCCTAAGAACTAAGACAGAAGATGGGCAGAAGTCTGATGACGAATCATTAGCCAAAGCTGTATTTATGACTGTCTAGACCAGGAAAAAGAGCCCTCAGTTATTCATCTGAAATCACCAAATGGAGGCTGAGATCGCTGCCCCTCTTCCTTCCATCCCCTGTGATGGGGACACCTCTGTCTTCTGAATGGGGAATGATGAGCAGGGTAACACAGAAAGGACGAAGAGAACCTGTGTCTTTCCCCAGGGGTTTTACTATGCAACCTACATGAAGGTCATCAGTGCGCTTGCAAAACTCTTCATAATCTTGGTCAAAATTCATTTTCCGCTGGTCTAAGAAGTTATATTCCTTCTTCTTTACGGCAGCAACAATGTCCTAAAACAGATGGAAGAAATGACAGCGGTGTTCCATTTTCCTTTCAGTCCTCAAGACTTGTAGCCTTTAAATGGTTCCCACGAAGATGTCTATTTAAAGGGAACCTTATTTTCTGCCTTTCTCATTGGCTGGTGCTATTTGTCTTTCACACAGTAAAATTCTGCCATTTCCCATCCAAAGGAATCACCATCACAAAGATTATTTGGACAAACATATACAATTAAAACCACACCTGAAAATAAACAGGTTGTTTCTCAAAAGTTTCATGTGTTAATTAAAAAGAAGCCCAGAGCAGAATTTAATTAAACATTATTTTTGTTGAAAGGCTTAAATAATCCCAAGGAATAGAGAAACAAGACTTTAACAGAATAAAAACCAGATAGGAAGGAAATGGAGGTTCCCTAAGACCCACAGGAAAGATTTCACCTCCCAAACAAAACACATCAAGTGAACCGTCAAACACAGTCTACTGCTTTCCGATGATCTAGAGTTAATTTCTTTGCTCTCCTGTACAGCCACAGTCTGTGAGTAGGAGAGTATAAATTAGGTGATTCATCCTTGAAAACACTATTATCAGAAGTTTTGTTTGCTCAGAATGATGAGCAGTAATGCTTTGTGATCATTCTTAACCAGATACTAAGCCGTTCTCAAACTCGCAGCCCCACATTGTTGACAGAGTATGTAATTTTTATGAAGAGTCTTGGGCCTCCTTCCAAGATCTCCTCTTCAAAGTCGTTTCCACTCAAATCTCTCAACGCATGAAAGATGTGCAAGCTGCTAAACTTCTGGAGTCCAGTCCGCTAGTGAAAACATTGTACTCTTCCTTGTGCCCATGTGAACAAGCGCACTTACATATGGAGACAGTGAGTGTGCGTGTAGCATGTGACACGCTTAAGACTAGTGTGGAGCAGCTGCCTTAATTCACGTTTTCAGCATATATTCCTTGTTAAATTCAATTTTTTTATTTTTAAGAATTTCATATAGCATAATATTATTTCAACATCTCCCCTTTCCAACTCCTTCCATGTTCCTTCTCACTCCCTCTCAAATTCATGATCCTGTCTTCTGAAATTATTGGTGTCACACACACACACACACACGTGTGTGTGTGAGTGTGTGTGTGTATGTGTGTAGCTCTTCATCTAAAAGCAGGGCCTTGTGAAAATTCTCTCATCCACCTAGGCAGTGTTGACTGGCACGGTCATTATGTAGGTCTTCTTCAGGCAACCACATGGCTGAGACTGTGTGAGTGCAATATCCCTGTCATGTCTGAAAGACACTGTCTGGCAGTAGCTGGCCCTCTGGCTTCTACAGTCTTCTCTCCTGTCGTCCACTGAGCCTCGGCTGTGGGTGCTGTCTAGATTACCAACTAGGGCCAGAAACCCGGTGATCTCTTATTCAATGGCTGTATACACTAGTGTGTTGGATAGGCATGCATGAGAGTGCGGGTTTTGTGCATGTCACAGCCTGCCCGTATCAATCTTGGAACAACCTTTGAGGATCTGTTATCTCTTTCTACTATGTGTTCTGACAATCAAACTCAGGTTGTCAGGCTAGCATAGCAAACACTTTTTCCTGCTAAACCATCACACTGGCTCTTTTTATATCACTTTAACATGTATAGAAATAAAATGTAAACAGAAAATTAAATGTCACTCAAATCTTGATGTCAAATAGTGCCTGAGATACAGTATGTTCTTTATTAGCTATTTTTGCATGAATAAAGATAACATGAAAATCTAAATAAGGGGGGATGAAGAAGAAACCGATGCAGGTAATGGATATTTGCAATGAAAGAGAAGTCAAAGCTAAGTGTTGTTCTAGTTCTAATTATGTCAGAGATATTTGGGTCTTGGTGATGCATGAGTGCATAAAATATATTCAGTACTGAAAGTGTAAAATCTAATGTGGAGCTTCACAGCTTCCATCTCAAATTCCAATTCTAATTGTACATAGTTTCATTAAGTTGTCTGACTTTGGGTCTGCTTAGTTGTGGTGTGTGGTGGTTTTATTTATTTGCATGTTTTTTTTATAATGAGACATGTCTTAGCAATTAATTTTAAAAAAGAAAACTTATATTTTAACAGTTCTCTTGTACTACTAATGAAAATGCTTTTGCTTAAAGATTATTAACTTGAAATGATTGGGACATCATGCTTGTACCCACATTTCTGAAAAAAATATACTAGTACCATTATACAATTCTCAAATAAATCCAATTAAAGAATCCAAACATTTTATATTATGTACTAATGATTTGCCTAAATATCACTGTTTTGTAAAATATTCCAGTTTAGTTATGGACAGTGACAGAAAGTAGTACTTAAACATACAATACCTGGTATTTTGTCACCATATCTTCCAACCCCTCTATTTTAGAATCTTGCAGGACTGAGTATGTCTTGAAGGTTGTGAAGATGTTCATTATCTTAGTCAGACGTCGATGGAAAGTTTCAAACTTTCCAAATATATACATCTCGCTAAAGTCAAATTGCTTTTCACTTGGGTTTTGCTTAAGCTTTTGTTTTGTCTCCTGGAAGCAGCGCTGGTATCCCTGACAGCCAAGTACAAATAGTATAAGAGAAGTGTGACTCGGGGTAGAGCATATCAAACATATACAAGATCAGGGTTCAGCCCCTATCATGGAAGGGAAGGAGGGAAGAGAGAAAGGGAGGAAAGGAGGGAGGAAAAGGGAGAGGGAGGGATTCATTGTCTTTCTCAAGTGAAGGTGATAGCAAAATTAAACTGAAAATCTCAGTCTTTTCATAATTGCATTCTTTTGCATTTAGTCATCAGTCTGAATCATTACCTTTCCCTATCTTTTAATCCAACAAGATATCATTCCTAGTGCAACTAAACCTGTGTCTTGTCCTCTTAGGATCCACTATTTCAGTAACAGAATCACCCTAAGTCCATCTCCCCATCAGGCTATACAATACTTAAAGAAAACTATCTAATATTAGTTACCAGTGTAGCTCAGAACTTTTGTAGACTAAATTGATAAACTTTCCCAGAATGTTCATTAACATTCAATTTTCTTAGCTGTAAAGTTATTTTGCAAAAAGATAATAGTTACTATTCTGTTTAGCAACCAAAAATATTATTGTCAAATGATTTAACATAGTCTCAGAAAAGTAGCAGAAAAAAAAAATACATCAGAGCACACTACTAATCTAAGCTCCATTACCTGCTTAAGTTTAATCGCAGAAGATATCTTTTGCATAACAATGTCCTGAGGCTGGCTCCAGATGGTGGCAGTCCCATTATTGGTGATATGGGCTTTGCATGCAGATATCATCTGATTTGTCACCTGGAGTTCCCCCAATAAAATCATGTTAGGTACATAAAACTCTAATGAATTATGAATCTGTATAGTCTCCTCATATCTTTTTCCTCCCAGAATCCAGTCTGGGACCTTCATCTTCGGCTTTTTTTCCCTCACAACCCTGAGGAACCCTGACTCTCTGATACAGTCAAAATCCACAGTCTGGATTGCTGTTGGCAATCCCAGAATGACAGAGGAGGAATCACTGTTGCTGAAGAGTGGAGAGCCAGTGGTAAGTTACTCGGGGCAGTGACTGGCTCCATGCCTATGCCCAGTGAGTCACAAATCAAAAGCAAAAATAAAAGACAGGAAGTTAGGATGGGAAGTTTGGCAGGAGGAAGTGGGGATTGGCAAAATAGACGGGGTATTATACAGGACAGAGATGTAATTGTGACCCAAATGTGTATGGAATTGTCAAAGAATCAATTTTAAAACCATCTGTGAAACCAGAGTTGGCCACACCATGGAAAATCAACCATGGGGCTCACACATTTACACAAAAATGAAGATCCTAACCAACAGAAGGATTGGCTCCCCTGTCTAACAGCCACTAGAATTTCCTCTGCAGATCCTGTTTCCTAATGTCTACCTCACAGTTAACTAGCACCATGTAAAGTCCCGTCCAACTTGACAGTTCATGGCACCATGACCTGCAGTGAAAATATCAAAAATAGGACACCAGAGAAACAGAGATGAAGCTAATGGAGAAAGTCGTTAACATCATATTCATCCCTCCAAACTTCAAATATCTTCTTCAAGTTTCCTTATTGTTTTTAAATAAACCAAGAGCATAATTATTTGTCTGTACAACATAACAGGGATGGTACCAATCAGGTCAAGAAGTGATAGTTATGGCTGAAGACAGGGCTCAGCAATTAAGAGCACTTCCTGTTCTTATAGGGGACCCAGGTTAGATTCGCAGCACCCACATGGTGACTAAAAAAGCATCTGGAAATGCAGGTCCAGGGGATCCGATATCCTCTCCTAACATATACAAGCACCAGGCATGCCCATGGTACATAAACATCATACATGCAAGCAAAAAATCCACGTAAATAAAATGAAATAAAATAAATAATAAATAAAAATAAAATAAATAAAAATAAAAATAAATAAATCTTAAAAATTAGGGTATGTGCAAATCAATATTAGCCATGCATTGGTGCCTGTTGGTTTTAAGACTGTGTGTGCAAGCACATGTGTTGTGTGTGTGTGTGTGTGTGTGTGTGAGCACGTGTGTGTGTGTGTGTGTGTGTGTGTGTGTGTGCATGTGTGTGTATGTTGGGAGCTGAGGGTTAATATACAATTTCTTCTCCCATTATTCTACTTGAAAATGTCTGTTACAAAACTTTCTGACCATCATTGGTAGATTAACAAGGACATGAAATAATCTGCATGAAATATCAATTAATCATAGAAATAGGCTCTTGTGTCTCATTTACACAGGGGATATCATCTCTGACCCAAAATACCTACAGGTCAGAATATGGTCGTACAGTTTAAACATCGTCATAGTTTGGGCCAGGAGATTTTTAATTACTTTGTAGATTACTGAAACACTGTGTCTTATTAACATGGTTATTATTGTATTAACACTAAACAAACATATGTGGAGTAAAATAAACGTGGAGCTGCAAAGTGAAAGAGAAATACAGAACAGCCAGTCAAATACAGTTTTTCTTATATTCTTGATTGGTGCAGTTTAGCGAATGGGGTGTTCTTTTGTTATGGTTTGTGCACTTTTTGTCCTTTTGACTGATTAGTTAGTTTTGTGACAGGATCTATTCTGTTGTACAGGCTAGCCTAGAATTCACTATATAGTACAATTAGTCATAAAAATCATCTTCTCTTGTCTGAAGTGTGAGGATTGCAGCCACAAGCCACCATAACTGGCCTAATAACATTTTTTCTTAATTAAAATAATTAAGAAATAACGGGAAGCTAAAAATCACACAGGAAAATTCTGAAAAACAACTTAGTTTTTCAAACATAAAATAGAATGTGTATTATAACAATTACTTTAGGAAACAATGCTCTCTTTGCTAAAAAGTCACCTGTCGTGTGAATTTATATCCATTGACAAATTAAGTCCTTTTAAATATAAAGTGCACAGATACTGGATCGAGCCAAGTTAACAAGTTTTAATTATCTAAAAAAAAAAAATGGCCATTGACAACTATGTGACCACAGACTCTCTCTTACACACTCACCTTTACAAACAGAGATGTGATCTTCTCAGATGTGTTATAGTAGTGAGAGATGCTGTAGATCATCTTAATTGCATTTATAAGGGTGGGAATAGCATCTATCATAGTTATCTGGAAGAGATTTCAGAAGTTTTCAGGGGAAAAAGATGTCAAATAAAGAATGATTATGATAGTCTAACCAATTTTTTCATTAAAATAAAGTTTAAGATTGTTAGTAAAAAAAATTTAAATAGTACCTGATGCTTTACATTTATATATTTTACAAAAATTCTTTTTATTGTTTTAGTCATGAAGTAAATCAAAATTTATTTCAATAGCAAAGGCTTGCTGTTCATGACAAGTAGGTTATGCTAACACTTGGTTTTGTAGTGTAAATGAGCAGACATTTCCTAAACCTAACATATTTTTAGAACATCAGCCAATGTCTTTCTCCATGGTGCTTTGCTGTAGAGTCTAGAATATCAGCTTCAACACTGAATGCAAAATGTAATGCAATACATTTTTAAAATATAACATTTTTTAATATGCAACATTCAAGATAGATAGGTAGGTAGATAATGATGATGAAGATAGATGATGATAGATAAGCAGATAGATAGATAGATAGATAGATAGATAGATAGATAGATAGATAGATAG